AAAAAAAAAACCGACAGGTGAATACAGGGGTCTAAGGAATAAAAACAGTTGTTAAAAAGCATGTAAAAAAAAAACCAAACCCACTGCCACTGACTTGATTCTGACTCATAGTAACCCTACAGGACAGAGATGAGCTACTCCACAGGGTTTCCAAGGCTGTAATCTTTACAGAAGCAGGCTGCCACATCTTTCTCCCATGCAGGAGCTGGTAGGTTTGAACCGCCAAACTTTGGGTTAGCAGACAAGTACTTAACCACTGCGCCACCAGGGCTCCAAAAAACCATATGGCTAATACTTATCGGGCACTTAAAATGAGCCAGGCTCTATTCTAAGCAGTTTTAAACTATGATTTCATTTAATCTTCACAACAACTATTGAGATAGTTATGCCTATTTTATAGACTAAAAAAAAAAAAAGCAGAGAGAGGGAATTTTACGCGTGCAGGTATGCTTTGACAGGGCAGTGGGGAGTGTTCCGGAGCCTGTGGCGGAAGGTGACATGTTCTCTCAATGGTGGAAGATTCTGGATAGACAATGGGCAGCATCTCACAATGAGATACAGAATTTCTGATTATGGGAAACTGGGAGGTAGAGGAGAGGAAATCAAAACCATTTGCGATATTATCATTTGACTGAGGGTCAGTTCTGGTCCTACTAAGCAAACAGGCACTTGATTGAGAAAGAAGTACAACTTTTTTTTTTAAATCTCAGGAGGAGCAGTGTGACCTGCTGAACCGAATCTTGGCTCTATCTCCATTTAAACCTTAGATAAGACAATTCCCCAGTCTGGACCATTTTCTCATCTGGAAAAACAAAAAATTGGAAGCTTGAACCAGATGATCTTTAAGATTTCTTCCCAAGTATAACATCAGGTGCAATGACTTTGTTAACTGGGTCTATGTCAACGACTTATTTGAAGGCTGGACCAAACTACCCATCAGCAGATCTCTATATACAGATGAGCCTCAGAGAAGATGATGGAAGTTAACACACCCTGGAGTACAGCTGCCATCTCTGCAGGATTCTTTGAGAAGAGGGGAGAGGTCTGGGCTTCTTAGCTGGGGTCACACCGTGTTTACCCATATCTGCTCCTGAATCTGTGCTCCTGAATCTTCAGTTGCCATAATCTGCTCACACCTGCAGTCTTGGCATTCTACCACTTGCTGCTCAAGGCTCTTGACTTGAGCTAAAAGTAAATACGCTTTTGTCCTCTTCTTTCTCCTCCTTTTGTTTGATAAGATTTAATGTTATTCTCTATTGTGGGTATAACAACCCAATTTCAACATCATTTCCTTGATCTAACACATTCCTTTATAGGTCCCTGAGTGATGAAAACAGTTTGCACTCGACCACTGACCTAAAAGTTGGCATTCTGAACCCACCCAGAGTCTCTGCAGAGGAAAAAGCCTGGTGATCTGCTTCCATGAAGATTACAGCTTAAAAAAGGAACCCTGTGGAGCAGTTATACTCTGTGATGCATGGGGTCGCCATGAGTTAAGAGTTCATGGCAATAGGTTTGCCTTTTTTGGTTGTAGTTCCCAACGAACCGGGAAGTTACTGGTGAGATTGGTCAATGTTGTTACCCTGAGGACAATCTTCTCCCTAAAAGAATAGTTTTGCAAAAACGGACTGCCAGAGGTGACTTCCAGGGCAGTAGCTACACGTGTGAAAACCCTCCCAGCTCTAGCCACCATATTCAGTTATACAAAAGCCAGATATCATCAGCCTGTTACCAACCTAAACACAGCAGTTCAGGCCCATGCTGCTCGTCTTTCTTCACCGGACCTCTTTTACCTTTTTCCTACTCACTTTCTGTTTTGTTTGTTTTTTCCCCCATCCTACTTCTTTCATTTTTTCCCCCTCTTCATTACTGCACTGATTACATGACTTTTCAAAGCCAACTGCCTCCATATCACAAAAAACATACCAATTTTTGTTGTGGGAGACATTACTAGGGGCTGGGAGGGTTTTCACAGGTGTGGCCGCTACCCTGGAAGTAGCTTCTGGCAGTTCTTTTTTTTGCAAAACCCTTTCTTGACTCTTCTGCCCAATTATCAAGCCATCTTATGTACTGGATATTTTTAAACCTCCCAAATAATTCCAGTATGTGCTTTCTGGTCCCAACCCAAACTTTGCCAGCTTCATCTCCTATCATTTAACTCCCTCCACCCCAACCCACCCCCAGCCAGCTAGAATTTAGCTCTGTTCCCTATCAGCCTAAGGCTTTCGCTCTTGGTGTTCTTACTACATGAAATACTCTTTACACTTTCTCCACGTCAGCAAACTCTAATCGATCTTTAAAAAACAGTTCAAACGCCAATTCTTCTGAGAAGCTTTGCCTGACTTTTCAAACCTATAATGGAAAATTAACGAAAAGGGGAAGAAACGATGTGGTTGGACACTGGATGCCACAAGAGTGTAGGATCAGATTCACCTATGAGGCTAACAGAGACGCACCGGTGGCGCAGTGGTTAAGCGCCGGACTACTAACCAAACCGGGTGGGTTCGAACCCACCAGCCGTTCCGTGGGAGGAAGATGTGGCAGACAGGGCAGCTCTACTCTGTCCTATAGGGTCGCTATGAGTCGGAATTGACTCGACGGCACTGGGTTTGGTTTTGGTTTATGAGGAAACAGGCACTAACAAGACTGAGGGAAGAAGAATAACTTCCCCTGCTTCACAGTTTGCCCATGATTAAGTCTGCTGTCGGGCACAGGACGAAACCACGATCTCTCTGGGCCTCGATTTCCCTCTCACACCCTTGCTATCTGCCGTTCTCCACATCTTCGAAGAGAAACCATGTGCACCCAGGAACACACACAATTCTGCCTCAGTCTTCGCAGGGACTCCAGAGTCACCAAGAGAGGAAACTGTCGGTCCCTTTCCCAGCCCTTCTCAACGTGCCCTGTGAGAATGGTCCAAACCCGGCATCAAGACTTGAGCCGCAGTCCCTCGAAGTTCCCGCTGGCGGGACGCCAGGGGCAGACACAGTGCAGCCCGCCCTGAGGCCCTCCGGGAACCGCTACTGCGCCCGGCAGGACGCGAAGGCTCGACCAGAGCCCCTGCTCCACCAGGTCTTCTCGGTTTCCGGACCGTGGCGCCCGGGTCACTTTGTGTCTGATTTCTCCGCGCCAGAACCACTTCAGGGGGAAGCGGAGACCTCGAGCTCCTCTCAGCTCAGTAGACACCGCAGGCTCCCACTCCCGCCCACACTCACCTCTTGCTGAGGGGCCGGACCCTCAGGGCCACTCGCACGTTCGCCATCCCTTGGCCACGGCTCAAGCCCAGCAGGCCGGTCCAGCGGCTGCATCCCTAGCCACAGCCCCAACCCCAGGCCCAACCCCAAGCCCAGCCTCAGCCCCGCCCTCCCCACGCGCCGCCCGGGGACGGCCCGCCCACGCGCGCGCCGCAGCCCCAGTGGGGTGGAATCCACAGAACCGCCGCCAATCCTGAACCCAGTGGGCGGGAGGACGCCCGGCCCCGCCTCTCCTCGCTCCGCCCCACACACTTCTAGGGATGCCCCCGCCCCGCCTCTAGCCGCAGGCCGGACGAGGCGTTGCCCGCCGAGCTGCGGCCAATCCTGAGGCTGGTGGGCGGGAGGACGACCGGCCCCGCCCCTCCTCCTTCCGCCCCTCGCCCCTCTTGGGACGCGCCCCACCGTGGGAGCGGCGCATCCCGGTCGGGGCGGTGCCTGCCAAGCGGCGGCCAATCCTGAGCCCGGCACGCGGGAGGGCACAGGTCAAATCCGGCCTGTCCAGGCCTCTCGTGCTGGGAGCGAGGGAGCTTGTTTCCCCCTGTTCTTGGATTGCCTGCACGTGATAGATTCAAGTAAATTCATTAAATTTTGGTTAACGCCTGGCAGTTTATAAAAGTGCTTCGCTAAATGTTTTTATTTACTGCTTTGACCAGAGCTGGCAATGCTGTGGTTAAATTTTAGGGTCTGAAATGAAATGGGGAACGATTGTTTTTTCTGTTCCCCGTTAGGGAACAGTGTTCCTCTTTGAAGAGGTTTGGAGTAAGGAGTTTGGAGTGGGAGGGAGTTTGGAGTGGGGAGGGGTTTGGAGTAGGGGTGGAGTCTAGTGGGGGAGGAGTTTGGAGTGGGGAGGAGTTTGAAGTGACCGCTCTCAGGAGCTTTTCTGATTGTGCTGGAACTTCCTGGCCACCTTGACAGTTCTTGTGGTCCTGGAGGGAATGCTGTTTGATCAGATTTGGTTCATTAATTCATCAAGAAATAAGTATTGAATATCTACGAAGAGTAGAGCACTGTCCTAAGGCGCGGAGGATACAGTGGCAAACAAAACAAAGTCCCTGCCTTCATGAAGCTCAGAATCTACTGGGAAAGGAGATAATACATAATAAGTGTATGTCAATGGTGCTGCGTGCAATGAAAAAGCAAAAAAGGCAGGTAAGACGGTATAGTGATGGTCTCTGTATACGTAGGGGATGGTGCTACTTTGGTTATAGCTAATAATAGCATTGACTTTCACTTATTATATGCTAGGAACTGACTGCTTTTCGTGTATTATCTCATTTAATCTTCCAAAGACTCCATGAGGAGCCCATGAAATATAGTTACCATCTGTTCTACAGATGAGAAAATCGAGCCTGATTTAAATAAGTTACAAAAACACAGCTAGTAAGTGGAACCTGCATTCAATACCAGGTCTAATTCTAGAACCTGTGCTATCACTCTCCATACTATAGTAGCTAAAGCAGCTCATCATAATCCCATACTCCCCTCCCCAGCCCCACCCCAAATTCAGAAGTCTTACAGCACGTCTCTAAAAGTTGAACAAAAAATCAATCATATCTTACTGAATCTATCACAGTACTAAATTATCTTTTCTCTTTGAGGCAGACCTCAGACTCAATTACCTGAAGCTTTTGTGAGTCAGACAGTCTATTCTTATACTTTAGCTGTGTAAGCTACATAGGAAATCATTCCTTTGTATCACTTAGGATTCAGACGAGGACTACAAAATTTCAGTTAGAAATTACAGGTTTACTTCAATATTCTGAAAAAGATACAAAACAAAAATAAAAAACAGGCATATCAATATAACATGAAAGATATATACATACATATATAAACTAATATAGGAAATCACACAAAGACAAAGCTTTGAAACCAAGGCTGAGCTTGAACAGATTTCTGAAGAAATACAACTGAAGGCTTTGCTTAAGTGTTAGGTGACATTTAAGACACTATGACCATTTGTCTACATGCCATTGGCACAAGTCAGCAAAGGAGACTTCAAAACATGATTTCTGGTTGTTTCACCAGGATTTTTAAAAAAAAGATCCTATTTCCTTATGAACAATTTACTTTATTCATCATATTTACTGTGTTATGAAGTTTTCTTGTGTTAAGGAGTGTGATGAGATCAGTGAGCCCCTATCATACAGAGAATGCAACAGTACAAAAATACTGATGTACACATTTTAAAGTAAAAGAGAACCCCAAGTCTGAAAATAAAATAACCAGGGGTACTTATACTACTGATACAAATCAGTACCTTCTGAGTCAGTTGTTAGTATCAGTATACCACCCCCTATTATACACACAATAATCTTAGACTAGGTAAAATACCTGAGCACTTTATAAGGTAAACCTCTAAAGTTTTTTAGAATGTGCCTTTTTTCTTTTCTTTGCTCTACTTCTCTCCTCTGCCTATACCTCAGGCTGCCAGTGAAGACCCCCAAGAACTGCTTAGTGTGATAGAGGTCCCCAAAACCATCTCCAAGTTCAATGATTTGCTAGGAGGACTCAGCATATATAGTCACACTCATAGCTATGAATTGTTAAGAGTGAAAGGATACAAAGCAAAATAGCAAAGGGAAAAGGCAAAAGTCCCCTGGGGCATAGTCCAGGGGAACAAGCACAAGCTTCGAGTCTTCTCCCAGCGGAGTCAAACAGGATGCACTTAATTCCTCCAGCAACAAATTGACAGCACATGTGAAATGTTGTCTACCAGAGAAGCTCACTGGAGACTCAGTGCCCTGGGTTTTTACTGGAACTAGTCATGTAAACACCTCCTGCCTAACATGTAGCAAAATTCTAGACCTCCAGAAGGGAAGCAAGTGTTCAGCACAAACCACACAATTAGCCACTCTTATCAGTTAAGGTGATGGAAACACTCCTGAAATCTAAGTTCTCAGATGCCAGTCAAGGGCCAACGTTGTAAGCAGGCCTTTCAAAGTCAGACTTGCGACGTTAACGCTTTGCTGCACACTTGCGCAATTCCACAGGAATGGTCTGCACAGGCATTTTCAGATTCAAGAAGACTCTTCCAATTCAGGAATATGCATGGTTAAAGATATTTAATAGAGACTCCGTTGCCTGAGAAATGGTTAATGCACTCATGTCCAATAAACTTGCATAACTAGTATTTGATCCTCACTAGTTTCACTGAAAAGTGGAATGAAAATACATAGAAAATAAAGGAAAATTCAGTTTGGTCTTAACGAACCTGGAATCCTGGTACTTTAATATACAGAGGGCTCTTTTAGTGTGGCCAGCAGCAAAGCCTATGAATACCCAGGTCACATGTGATTAGAAATAGACTTCTTATGATTATATACAAGGAAGCAAAAATAAACAGTTGATGTTCATTTAGCATTAATAGTTTGGACAGGGACTTTAGAATTAAAAGATAAAGGAGGCATTATAATGTCATGTTTATGAAGATAATTTTCTTCAGTTAATATTTTAGGGATACAAGAGGAAACTTCTCTTTGTTGTTCCCACCACTTGAGTATATTCTCTGCCAGTTCTTCTGTCTCGGTTACCAAAATATCCATCTTTGCTAAAGCCTTGCTCTGTAACATTTGAAAGGGAAAAAACAGGAGAGAAATTACATACCTGTCATTAATTTTTCTTCATTTTGTCACAAATAATTATGATACCATTGGATCTTTTTCCAGCCCCCTAATGCAAAGGCCCCTTAGAACCCTGCTCCCCCACTTCTCAGAGTGCACATCTTCTCTGTGAGCTCACCTCTCCTTCGTCTTCAATTATCACCTCAGTGCAAATGACCCTCAAATCTACACTGTCAAACCTAACCTTCTCCTAAAATTCAGTCCCACATTTCAGTCTGATGGAATTCTCCTCCTGGACAAACACTATCTCAAACTCAATTTAACTGCAGTTCAACAAACACTGACTGGATATCTACTACATATGCAAGACAAATCAAAAAACAAACTCCTTAACTTCTTTAATCCATACTTGATCCTATTCACCCTCAAGTCACCCAGGCTAGAAACTTTATTACTTTGGATGTGTGTTTTATCCAAATAGTAGCCAATATCTAGAAATTCTACCTCCAAAATCTCTCTAAAAACCTACACGATCCTTTGTATTCCCATGCTTTAAATCTTTTGTTTGAATTACTATAATTATTCTCCAAGTTTCTCTGCCTTTTCTTCTAACCCAGAGCTTCTCTGTAATGTGCATAGGATTCACCTGAGGATCTTGTTAAAAGATGGTAGATTCTGAAAGTCTAGGGTAAATGAAGTCTGCAGTTCTCCATTCCTAACAAGCTCCAGGTGATGCTAATGCTGACGCTCTCTGCCCACACTCTGAGGAGCAAGGCTCAGTCTAATCTGTCCACTCTTTTCCCCATGATTACAGCACAGTTTTGATCATGTCACTCCCTTGTGCCCCTCACTTAAAAAAACAAAACATTCAATGTGTCCCCAGTACTCAGACAGTGAAGTCTAAACTCCTTACTCTGGATTTCATGGCGTACCATAAACTAACCCGGAGCTAATTTCCCCTCCTTGATAGGAGACAGCAGCCAAAGTGGAGTACAACCAACCGCCTGTGCTCTCTGACTTTCATGCCTTTGTTCACATTGTTGCTTTTGTCTGATGCATATCCAAATCCCACTGGTACTTACAAGGTTCAGCTCACCACACACTCCTCTATAAAACTTCACTGAAGTCTTTCTACCTTCCCTTTCTACTCCCAATGCCCCTAAGTTGAAAGTCACCCCTCCCTTCTGTGCTCAGTAGACAGCATCTTCTTTATAATTCTCAGCTGTACTTATTATGCAAATACAATAATACAAAATAGAAAGTATGTATTTTATAGCTGTCCCACCAAACTTTTGAGACTTTTCAGGGCAGAGATTGGTCTCCCACAATACCTATGACATAGCCCCTTATGCAATTAAGACAACACATAATTATTAAATGCTGGAATAAAAGAATGTAAAATGTCTTCTAAAGAAAAATGATGTAGAAGAGGAAAGCCATCTTGGTTTTTTAAATAATCAGCTCATATTTACCATCAAAAAGTTAAGCAAAGATGGTGATAGGGAACCCAAGGTTGAGAAGGGACAGTGTTGACATGTTGTGGGGTGGTTAACCATGGTCATAGGGCAATACGTGTACTGTTTAATGAGAAACTATTTGTTCTGCAAACCTTCATCTAAGGTACAAAAAAATAAAAAGAATTACCTGTGTGAGATCAAATTGACAACAGCAACTCAAAAGATTTGATGGGAAGCCTGGGGGACAGTGAGTTGAAGATAATGGTGATAGAATAATTTGGAAAAGGATAGTGAGAATAGCAGCACAACTGGAAGAATGTAATCGATGTCAGTGAATTGTACATGTAGAAACTTCTAAAATGGTATAACGTTGGCTATGCATGTTTTCACCAAAAAAAAAAGGTCCTCCAAGGTGGAGAAGGGAGAGTGTTGACATGTCGTGGGGTTGTTAACCAATGTCATAAAACAATACGTGAACTGACTGTTTAATGAGAAACTATCTGTTCTGTAAACCTTCATCTAAAGTACAATAAAAAAAAAAGAAAATTAAAAAAAAAAGTTAAGCAAAGAGATCACACATTTGAAATTTTGGTATAAAAGTAAAGAAAAATAATGTGAAAGGAGCTGATGCGGTACTAAGATGCTATTATTAACACTTACCATGTTCTTTAGATTTGCATCTAAATGGGGGATATTTCTAATTGTTTCAAGATGGGTTTCTAATTTCTCAATGAAATTCACTGCCAACTCCAGCAAATGTACCATGTATCTGCGAGAGGGAGAAAAAAGTGAACTTTTTTTTAGCTTAATTATTTTGTGTTCCCCTTCTTTTACTTTTGAGATAACAGAATCACAATCAAGCCAGAAACAATATTTCTATATTCATGGAAATGTTAGTGATAAAATGGTCCTTCTCTTTCACTCTAAGCAAGGCCTAATTTGTCACACAAATAGAGAAATGGAAAGAGACAATACTAATCATAGCTGGAACCCAACCTAATGTTACACAAACCTCAGTGTTAAATTTTTCTTATATACCCGTTGCCGTCGAGTCAATTCCAACTCGTAGCAACCCTATAGGACAGGGCAGAACTGCCCTATAGGGTTTCCAAGGAGCAGCTGGTGGATTCGAACTGCCGACCTTTTGGTTAGCAGCCGTATCACTTACCCACTGTGCCACCAGGGCTTCTTTCTTATATAACTGAAGGGTTTTTCCTAGATAAAACCTCACTCCATTTCAATTTATTCTTTCTCAGTGAAAAGTGAGGACAGTAAGGGTAAATGTACTTCACAAAAACATGCAAAATGCTTTAAAATCATCACTCAGTTCTTTGATGTAGTACAATATATGTATTGACAGTGTACTCCACTGAATAGATACTGAATACATCCATGAGAACTGGGATTACTATTTTACTACAAAGTAAAAACTGACACTTAAGACACTGATATGCTCAGGGTCAGCTAATGAGGCACTTGTGGAGAAAGATGCCTGCTTCTTCTTTTATTAGTGATAACCTACATCTTCAATTTGACGGTTGCAATACTCCTATGAGGAAGAGAGCAACAGAAATCATCTCCATTCTATGGACTGGGAAACCGATGTAAAATTTAAGTCATTCGCCCAAGCCTTTGACGCACATAAACAGCAAAGATGAGAGCAGAACCCAGTTTTCCCTCCTTTAGTTGACATTATTTTCATCTGTCCCTGCTTAAGCAGCACCCCCCACCCCCATCTCCCAGTCCACACCACTCCCAAAAGAATTTTTATATATAGGCAACACTAACTCAAGTATAAATTTACTTTATCGAAAAGTCTATACATAATTAAAACAATTTTTACCTACTTTGCTGCATGTATGGACCTAATTTCTTTCAAAGTCATAATTTTTAATTTCCAGAACCCAATGGGGAAAAGGAACTCCATTCTCTTCACCGTAGCTACAATTCTTAAAAAGCAAAGGGTTTTCTTTCTGCTTTAATGCATCAGCATTAATAATAATGCTGACAGATACAATCACTGATATATCGTTTAATGAACTATGCTACAAAGTAGCTACTAGTCTAAACAAAAACTATCCTCAGAGTAAAAATACCAATCTCTTAAATTTCTATTTTTCAGTCTTACCTGTGATAAATAGCTTCAATAGGCAAGTTTTCCTGGCATATGGGTTTCATCAGTCTCTGCCTGAGGGACCGCTTCTCTTTCAGCACTGCTTCCAAGTGATTACTCATGCTTTGCAGGGTATGACATTTCTGAGCTATATAAATCAGAAACAGGAACTATAATTCACAGTAGAACAAGTAAGCTTTGGAATCATCATCTCCCCTTCGCTCTGGTTGAATGCTACCAATGTCCAACTCACCATTTCCCTCCTAAATTCTCCCTTCTGCTATTTTTAATGCCAATATCAGTTTCAACGTCAACTACTTTCTCTTACTTTTCCTACTGACCACCAAATCCCGTGCTAAATTCTTTCTGTGTGTTTCTCAACTCGATTCCTAGTTCAGTTTTTGTAGTTGGAGCCATACTCTTCACATAGACTCTCTTCTGATCCCTGCCACTAATATGCTAAATGGAACATTAAAAAGTCATCTTACAAGTTATTTCTGATTATCTCAGTATTTTTCCCAGAATTCAGTTAATGGCTGCTAATTGCTTCTTCTTTTAAATTCTTATTTTAAAGACATTTCAGACTTACCAAAAAGTTTTCAGAATAATTCAGTGAACTCCCATATACATTTACCGATTGTAAGTTAACATTTCTTTACACACCCATAAACCAAAAAGCCAAATCCACTGCCATCAAGTCAATTCCAACTCACGGCAGTATCATGTGTTATAGAGCAGAAATACTCCACAGGGTTTTCTTGGCTGTAACCGTAACAGAAGATCACCCGGCCTTTCTTCCATGGTCCCACTAGTTACGTTCAAACCACCAATTTTTAGGTTAGTAGTCAAGCTACTGTCCTCGACTCAGTCTTTTCTCCAAGGAGCTGTGTTTCCTTTCAGTGGAGAATAGTACTTAGAAAGCAAGATCTGGGCACTAGGTGTACTCATTACCAATAGGGTGTCATTCTAGACCCTTTCATTGGACAGAGACAGAAAAAAATCCATATATAGACATAGTCGCAGACTTAGGACAGGGTTCCGTTACGATGACTCTGTTGAAAGTCGGTTCTGACTTAAGTTGAACACTTTTTTAAGTTTTCATTATTATTGTCTTTTAGTATCAGTACCTTTATAAATCCAATCTTTCTTTTTCTTTGGGAGTGGGAAACATTACATATAAACTTACATATTTTTACGCAAATAATGCGTACCTTCTGCATTTGTTTGCCAATGCACCCTTCCCCCACGAGGTATTTTTGTAAGCAACATGCTTAAAATACGATAGATATATTTTAATACATATATACATACATTAAGAAAAAAAAACACAAATCATAAAAATTTACTCCGACAATGAAGAAGAGTTGGACAACGTTGGCATTTTGTCAGTTGTGGTAATGACTCCACTTGTGGAAGGTTCTGGATCATCTGGATTATCCCTGGGGATGGGGATAGTGTTTCTAGTCAGAAAATTAGTGAGAGCTGTCTGCATGGTCCTTTTCTTTTTCCTTCATATATTTCGTGGTAACATCTCACTGCTTCCCAAATCTGCGTAAAGACTTTAGCAAAGCGATTAGCGTTTGAGTCCATGTTTTCAAGCAACTGAAGCCCCTGGTTTAGTTTAGAAAAAACTCCAGCTAATCTTTTCACTGTAAAATTTTTTGACACCTTGTCTCCTTCCTCTTCATTATTTCTTTCTTCTTCAGCATTTCTTTCCTCTTCAAAATCCATTAAAGTCCTGATCTGTCAATGCCCCTTCCTTGTGATCTATGAGCTGTTCCACATGGACGATAACAAGTTCTAAATTCAGTGTTCGTGCCAATTGGACAATTTTCCCACCGATCTCTTTCACTATATTACCCTGATCAAACGTTTGGAGTGTGTTCACATAACTCAGCCATTTTTTTCAAATCCCCTACATGCATTTTCCTGTTAACTTCCTCCCAGGAAGAGTCAATGTTCCAGATACACTGAAGAATATTATAATTCTTCCAGAAATCACACAATGTTACCATACCTCCATCTGTTGGAGCTATTACCTGGGCAAACGCAATCCATATAGGTAGTTACTCCTTTAAAGTGGTGATTGCACCTCGACCCACAGGCTGAATCACATCTGTCATATCTTCCACTTTCACCTCTTGATTTAGATCATCTATGTAAAGAGAGGAGTCCCGGTGGCGCAGTGGTTAAGAGCTTGGCTGCTAACCAAAAGGCTGGCAGTTCAAATCCACCAGCTGCTCCTTGGAAAACTCTACGGGGCAGTTCTACCCTGTCCTATAGGGTCATTATGAGTTGGAATCGGCTCGAAGGCAATGGGTTACATGAAGAGGATGTCCTCGAGCATTATCAGGTAGCAGCACAATCTTGAAAGAAATGCTCTTTTCAAGGCAGTAGGCACACACTTCTGGGATGAAACAATTTAAAAACCAGCCTTTGAATAACACAATCGTCATCCAGGACTTGAAGTTACTTCTGTAGTAGACAGGCAGCTTATTTTTGTCAATGTCCTTGAGTGCTCAGGGGTTTTCAGAATGGTAAACAAGAAAAGGTTTTAATTTAAATCCAGCAGCAGTTCCTCCAAGCAGCAGCATGATCCTGTTTTTAAATACCTTGAAATCAGGCATCCACTTCACCTCTTTGTGAATATAGGTCCATTCTGGCATCCTTTTCCAAAAAAGCCCCGTTTTTTCCATGTTGAAAATCTGCTCTGGTGGATAATCTTCATCTTGTATCACCTTGTCCAGCCCATCCTTGAATTTTTCCGTAGCTTCAACATGGGCACTTCCTGCTTCTCCAGTAATACTCACGTTATGTAAGCCAAATCTGCGTTTGGAGCAATCAGACTAGACCTTGCTGGCATTTTTTAAGTATTTGTGGTAGTCTTCTCCTTGCTGTTCCTTCAGGTTTTCAAAAAGGCTGCATGCTTTCATTTGAATCATCAGTAAACTCATAGGAATCCTCTTCTGGATTTGGTCTTCTATCCAAATCATCAACAGCTTCTCCATCTCGTGGATTGGCCCTTGCCTCTTCTTTGTTAAAATTGTAGATTTTATGCCAGTCGCTCCTTTAACTGCCTCCCAAATCCTATTCTTTTCCTTAATGATTGTCGAAATGATCAAATGAGACAGTCCTTTCCCACGTGCTATTTCACCGACTTTCTTTCCATTATCATAGGCCTTAATGATCTTCATCTTTATAACTATGTCTAGAGGCTTCCTCACCTTCTTTTTTTTAGATTAGGACTTTCAATGGCATGACTTCTTTTGCTAAACATATTGTTGAGGGTAAGAAGCCCTGGTGGTGCAGTGGTTAAAGCAATCAACTGCAAACCGAAAGGTCAGTGGTTTGAAACCACCAGCAGCTCCATGGGAGAAAGATGTGGCAGTCTGCTTCTGTAGAGATTTACAGCCTTGGAAACCCTACGGGGCCACTATGAGTCAGAATCAACTTGTCGGCAGTGGGTTTTTGGGTATTGTTGGGAGTATAAGCAGTGCAGGTGTTACAGTGTGAGAAACTCGAACAACTCAGCTTCAAATTAACAAGTGATGCTTCTGATGGTACCAGGGCTTTGAACTGGTTTGAACTGGTTCAGTCATGGCTGACAAAGTGAAACCGGAACAGACCCAAATTTTTACGATTTGGGTGATCCAGAACGATAACTGGAACAGGAAAAATTACAGGTCCAAGCCCTGGAATGGGAGACTCAGAAGAGACATAGTAAGCCCTTCCAGGAGCCTGATGTGTGAGACTCAACTGTTGGCAGGACTGCAGAGAGCAACACACATGCAGAGCAGCATGGCTGGCTGCCATCTTTGATTGAGGCACCACTTCTTCCAACTCTGCTCAAAACCCAATGGGCTAGAGATTTGGTTGCTATACAACATGTACACTGCCCTTGTTTTCTAAGAGGGAGATTAGGTTTCTAGCAGGGCTTCGACCTGTAATTTTTCTCATTCTGGTTCACCAAATTTTAAATATTTGGGTCTGTTCTGGTTTCACTTCCTCAGCCCTGCCTGAACCAAGAAGAATAGGTTCGAAGCCCTGGATGGTATGAAACGCTGAGTAAGGTCACGCCGTAAGCCGGGTTCTACAATGAAGTCGGCACCAGTGTTGTAACAATGAAGGTGGAGTCGTATCAGATGCGAGTGCAGCTCAAACATCCCATGTCATTAGAGTTGAACATTGCCCAACTTTCTATCCGTTACAACTCCCGACACCAACTTCATCGTAGACCTTGCCATAGCCTGCTATACAGCAGTATTTGTAACAGTAAGTCATAAAATTGATCATCTGCAAGTGAACATCTGAGAATAACATCAGCAAATTATGTGCGGTAACATCATATGTAGTACATATTACTAACAATAAGATGTAAAAAAAAAAAAAAATGGTTGTAAGTGTGGTTCATTGTAAGTTGAATATGTAGTAAGTGGGGGACTACCTGTATATTGAAAAATCATGATTTCACATTAATACCTCTAATTCCAATCCAACATCACAGGGTTGTCCCTTATTTCTCACTTCCACATCTCTATTTCCCTTCTCCCACAGAAAGAACTTTGGCTCTTGGCAACATTAACATTTACTCATTTGCTTAATACATGGAAAACAGTTTCCAAATTGCTACACTCTACAACTACAAACAACAAACGTACCAAGTAGAGCTCAAGATTTGTTCTTTTTGTCTTTAGACTGACAGTATATAGCTAAAGAATCGTGTTCAAAACTTATATAGATTAGTACTTTTTTTCATCCTATATTGTTATGCATTCTTTGAAATAGTTGGGTTTGCATGTTTTTGCCTCTAATCAATTTTAGGATTTTCCCCTATCCTTTCAATTTAGTTTTCTTTTTTGAATATATATATAACAGTAACAAGGTTCCAAAAGTCAAAACTTACAAAAAGACAGACTGAGACGTGTCACTCCCTCTCTTACTCCTTTTCACTGTTCTTGTTCCCACCTATTTCGTTTTGTAGAAATAAGCAGATATATATACCCTAACACCCACACATTTTTATTTTCCATTTTTTCTTATAGAAAAGGTAGCATACCAACAAAATTCTTTAGTACTTTGCTCTTTTAATGTAACAATATACCCTGGAAATCACTCCATATCAATTCATACGGATCTTCCTCATTCCACAAAGCATGTGTGTGACGTGACTAGACTTTATTCAATCAATTTCCTAAGCATGAACATTTAGGTTGTTTCCAATATTTTCTAATTACAAACAATGCTGCAATCAACAAACTCTGCACCCTTCAGGGTCAGTGCCTGAGAGTAGGATTGCTAATTCAGAGGACAAATGCAATTGTCTCTAATATGAACAAAGAAATCGCCCATTATATCCCTCTGTGTCCCAATCAGTTTCACATCTTCCCATATACATTCTCTATTACAACCATGCCAACTGCCATTCCTTATGTTCTCCTGACTTTGAGGATCTCCCAGTCTAGTCACTTTTCATGCTATTTGCAGCCGTCAAGCCAACAGGACTTCTATTTAAGCACAGAAATAGGAGGCTTTGTTAGCTTTGTTGCAATACCTGGAAAAATTATGGTATATCATAATTTTGTTGACTGTTGCTTACTTAAGGTAATCCAAGAAAAAGTTCAAATCCCAATGATTACCCATGTAACCAAATCACTTACCTAAAAAGAAAGGATGAACAACATCTGCTGTATCTTTTTCTAGTCTTAAGAGTTCAATTTCCAAGTTTTTCTATATTAGGAACAAAAGTAACATTTAGCTCATTCAGAAAGTAGCCTGAAGAAAAGTCTTGAACTCTGATAAAAATGGATACATTTCACCCAGGAATATTTAAAAGGTATGGGAAGGTGATCTGTTATGAGATCCCAGCAGATTTAACAAACCTTTTCATGCTGGTGATCAAGTCCAGCTGCTGCTACCATTACTACTAACTACTATTACTATTATTACTACTATTAACGACTACAAATAAATATCTGTCAAGCTATGTGCCAGACACCGTTCTAAGTGCAAGGGAATTGGTGATATTTGAACAAATTAAGTTTGTTTTTTTTTTTCCTGTATTAAAAGTAGAAAGTAAAAAGTCTAACATAATTTACCTGGTAGATTTCAGCTTGAATATTTGTGATCTGCTGTAATCTGGAGAAGTTCACAAAGCAAGAGGCTGATTTCTTGGATATATTTAACATCTCCTATTGGTAAGTGAACAGAGAAAGCAGCATTATGTCACAGAAAGTGTTTGTGTGCTTTGAAACAGCATGCTCATGGGTCTCAAATATGAGCCTATATTATGTCCAATACTGCCTTTGAGCATTAAGTATACAGCAAAACAGTAGCAATGTGTATTTCCTGTTGTTAAAAGCTTCACTATCACACATCACTTGCCCACATATTTAAAAAACAAACAAAACTTTACGACTTTATACTACTATCTAAAGCATTTGTACCATACACAATAGATTTGCATTACTGATACCTTATCAGAGGATTCTAATGCTGAGGTAGTTGGAGAATTACCTCTACCCTTCCAAATGACACAGACCTAGTCTCTCTAATATTCCTGAGGTTAAAAACACTTTTTCCCTCATGGAATCATTTAAATGATTCATTAAATGATCTCTATTGGCTACAAGTCACTCATATTATCTCTGTGCATATTCTTACTTTCTTAGAGGAATGTTTGAATCCAGTCATCATTATTCTTCAAAAGGAATAATGTTAAATGTTTAATGGTTTTTATCCTTCCAGTCTATTATTCTTTGCTATGCTGCCCTTCCAGCCTTTTCTTAAGTTGCAGCTCATCTCAGAATATTTATCTTGTTCATGCCTTGGCTTCAACCAAAATTTTCATTATCCTCTTCTTCCTTCTAGAATGTTAGCACTATAAAGAACTTTAGAAATCATATACACCAGGGATCAGCAAACTATAGCCCACGAATCAAATGCAGCCCTCTACCTGTTTTCACATGGCCCATGAGCTAAGAATGGTTTTTATATTTTTTAATTGTTTCAGAAAAATCAAAAGAATGATATTTTGTGACATGTGAAAATTATATGAAATCTAAATTCAGAGTCCAGAAATAAATCTTACTGGAACACAGCTTCTCTCATTCATTTACGTATTATCTCTGGCTGCTTTGGCACTATAAGAGCAGAACTGAATAGTTGCAACTCTATGGACTACAAAGCCTCAAATATTTACTCTCTGGTCCTTAGGGGCAAAAGTTTGTTAACCTCTGATAATGAATTTCACAAACATTTATTGAGTTAGACAATGGAACATACAAGGATGAATGAAACAAGCTCCATACCCTCAAGAAGCTCATGATGAAGCAGACCCCACAGAGCAGGGAAGGAAACTTCAGGCAAAACCAGAGGACAACACCCAACCCTGAAGGGGGCTTGCTGGGTGTGGGTTTTCCAACTAAAAACATGACTGCGGAAACAGAGAAGGGAGGGGAGTAATAACGAGAGAGGGAGGGACTGTGCCCCCTTGTGGACAGATTGATTAGTACATGATATCTTGCCTGAATGGCAGTGCCCGCTGGTGGACAGACTGGCCAGAGCGTGTTCTCTGCTGTGTTGGAAGAGACTGAAAGACAAAAAATGAGATCTAGAACTCTCAAATCCTAATAAACCAGGGCTATCACAGAGAGAGAGAGGAAATGGTAAGCAAAGGCAAAGGCTCTGCCCACCTAAGGGTTTCTTGCAGAAAGAAGTGCAGGCAAAAACATCAAATACTGAGGAAAACTGAGAAAGTGAACACCCTCAAACATTCCAATGCCCCAACAAAAAACCACAAAACGCACAAAGAACAGAGGAACAATGGCCCATCCAAATGAACATGACAAAGGGAGTGAAAGCACATCTAGGGATGAGCAAAAAAAGGAAGAATATAATAAAACAACATTAAACATATTAAAGAACTAAGGGAAAACATAAACAAAGAGCTAAAAGGAATAAGGAAAAGAACACGAGAACAAAACGAGGATCTAAATAAAGATATTGCAACTGAAAGGGACAACAACTGAAATGAGAAACACAGTAGAAGGACTTATCAACAGATTTAATCAGGCAGAAGAAAGAATCAGCTAATTAGAGGATAAGATAGTTAAAGTGACAGACTCTGAAGGGCAACAAGAACGGCAGCTCAAGAAGGCTGAGCACAGTTTAATAAAATTATACTACAACAACAACAGACCTAACATATGCATCATAGGAATTCCAGAAGGAGATAAGAGAAAGGGACAGAAAGAATATAAGAAATAATGACAGAAAATTTCCCCATTCTAACGAAGAACATGAATCTACAAATCAAAGAAGCTCAAACAACCCCGAGGAGGATAAACTCAAAGAGATCTACACCAAGACATATCATAGTTAGGCTCTCAAAAATTAAAGATAAATAAAGAATCCTAAAAGCAGTGGAGGAGAAGTAAACAGTCACATACAAAGGATTCCCAGTAAGATTAAGTGCTGGTTTTTCCTCAGAAACATTGGGGGCCAGAAGATAACGGAATGATATAATTAAAATGCTGAAAGAAGAAAAAAAAAAAAAACTATCAGTCAAGAATACTACAGCCAGGGAGTTCCGGCAAAATGGCGCTCTAGGCAGAAGCACCACGCCGTCCCTCCACAGCAAAGATCCAAAAAACTAAGCCAAACAGAGAAAACAACAATCCTGAAACCCTAAA